GTTTGTAACTCATGTTCACATTCACCTCAGTTCTTCCTCATAAATATTGATGTTACAAAACGGATTCTGGGCATCTCTAAATAATTTAGAGAGCTCACTTCATTTCATCTCCCAATCATGGTTTAGCTTAGTTAAGCATTTTTTAACACCATAAACTATTTTATTTTTTTTTAACCAAAGAGATCAATTATTGTTGGAGTCATGGGCAATGTAACAGTATCAAATGCTTTGGATCTCCTCTCCTCTCTTTGGTCCCTAGTTGAAGATTCTCAGGGTATAATCATTCTTTTACTAACTTATTTTAAATTGTTAGATCATTTGAGTATGAAAAATACACAGACTGATATATCTCAAGATGGTGACATATTTTAGCAGTGGCTTGGCTCTGACTGGACCCTTAATACATTGCTTGTTTTATGAGGCAGTTTGGGGAAAAGAACAGAGAAGAATTGAAATGATCACATTGAACCTCAAAGCTGCAATTGAGGAAGATATTGTTCATCTGAATTAAAAAATGTGCAGTGCGGCAGTCCAATTCTTTCCCTTGGATACTATTCTTTATAGTACCTATGGCTTGTTTGAGGTAACACTTTGCTGATTCCTCTATGCAAATCCCAGTACTTATCACAAAGGGGCAGAGAGGAATTTCTACTGCATTATTGCAACTACTTGATCTTACTTAGTTTGGCAGGCTGTCTCTAATATGGCTCCCAATGATCCTTGCTTCCTGATATTCATGCCCTTGTGTAATCCCATCCTCTTTAGTGTGGACTACCCTAGTGAAGTGCTTCTAACCAACATTATGAGAAAGGTTATAGGAAGTCACTTCCATAACTAAGTTACAAGAGATTCTAACTTTAACTTGCTAGCCAGATAGGAAAGGGCTGGTAAATGTTTGTGTGTGTCTCAGTCAGTTTGGACTGCTATAACAGAATACCATAGACTGGATGGCTTAAAAACAGAAATTTATTTCTTACAGTGTCAGAGTCTGGGAAATCCTGCCAGCATTTTCAGGTTCTGGTGAGGGCTCTATTTCTGGTTCACAGATGGTTGTCTTCTTGCTGTGTCCTCATGTGGTAGAGGACAGAAAAAGAGAGGAAGTGACCTCTTTCCTGTCTCTTTTTTTTTCTTTTCCTGATATTCATGCCCTTGTGTAATCCCATTCTTTTTATAAGAGAACTAACCCTGCTGTGAGGGCTCTACCTTCCTTACATAATCACCTTCCAAAGGCTCCATATCTAAGTAGCATCATATTGGAGATTACATTTTCAACATATAAATTTGCAGGGAACACAAATACTCAATCCACAGCAGTGTGGCTCACCAGATCATCCTAGAATGTTATCTCCTCTGGAGGTTCAGGTTTGTGTTGCTTTGGGTGGATTTATTGCTGAAACAAATGGCAACAAAATGTATATTGAATACAATACAATAGAAGTTGGTTTCTTGATCATGAAATAGTACTGGGCAAGTTCAAAGGTTGGAAGGATATCTTTCCCTCCCTCATACAATCATTCAGGGGTCCAGGGTGATAGAGACTCTGTCATCCTAAACATAAAACATTGCTCTGGGATGGAGAGAGTGGCTCATCTTTATTACAGCCAGCAGGAAGGGAAAGAGAACATGATAACCCATGTAGAAGATCTACAGGCCAGACCTTTATGTGAAGTATGTCTCTTCTGATCACATTCCATTGACTGTATCTAATTACCTGACCATATCTCACTGCAAGAGAGCCTGGAAAACGTAGTCTTTTGGCTGAGTGACCATTTCTTAGTGACAACTCCATACCAAGGAAGGAGCCTAAGAAGTTTTGGTGGACAGTCACACATTCTACCATACTGCTTTGGGGAAATTGAACATTTTTCCATGGAATAACCATATTAGTATTCAAATGTGACATGAAAAGTGTAATACTGTAGGCCCATTCAGTAAGGTCTGTTGCTTCCCAACCTTGCCACCAATCCTTTCACATTTTTTTTTCTTCCCACCTAAGAACAATCCAACCAAATCTTTACCTACCAACAATTAATTCATGTTGAAACCAATTCAGGCTGCCTGTATTCCTAAGAATAGTGGGAAATGTGATGTTCTTATTGACTGTACATTGAAGGGTGTCTTTCTTTACTGTTCCTCAGAGCCACCTGCAATTGGGACTGTAGCACCCAGTAATCTGCATCAAGCCAGTGCTAGTAGATTCCTTATGGACCTGCTCCTGAATTTTTCCTCATCATTAGAATTATTTCTTCATTCTCAAGTCATTTCTTCCTTTGGTTTCCTTGGATACTACCTTTTTCTCACTTCTACATTCTCTAATTTTAGATAACCGGGGGTACATTTCTCCTTACACATTTATGGTTTCTAATTTTCTATCTCTAGCCTTAATGTCTCCTTTGAGCTAAAAACTGCCCACTTGACATTTCCAAGTCCATGTTAATGAACAGCACACATATCATATGTTCTCCTCAATGATACCACTCCTGAGAACTGACATTAGCTAATCACTCTCACTCCTTGTCAAAAGTCTAGCTTTCTTTTCTTTGTAATTCTTATCCTTATATGATGTCACTTTCATTTACTTAGTTGTTTATCATCTATATTATATCTATGCACTCTATGGGTGCTAAGTCTTTTTCTAGCTTGTGCAGAGCCTAGCACAATGCTTGAAAGTGCCCTAGAGATATTTGTTGAATGAATACATGAAGAGTTAATTTTAGTGAACTCCCTGGAAGTCATAGGTGCAGGTCAAGGGACAATAAGGTGAAAGTAGCAGACATATTGGCCTGGTGTGTTAGGAATTACTTTCCCTTAAAGACCACTAACAATGGAGGAGAGCATACTGGTCTGCTATCTGATTGGTATACAGCAGTGAAAACTTAAAAGACATTCAGTAAAATTTATAATTATTGCATAGGAAAAAAAGACAGTATTGCATCTTTTCATCCCTAGGTCAGGGTGGGCAGTTTTTCTGTAAAAGGCCATAAATAAATAGTTTAGGACTGGTAAGCCGTAAGGTCTCTTTTGCAGCTATTGAACTCTGCCCTTGTGTTAGGAGAGTAGCCATAAACAACATGTAAGCAAATAGGTGTGACTGTGTTCCAATAAAGTGTTCTTGGAAACTGAAATGTGAATTTTATATAACGTTCACATATCACAAATATTATTATTTTTATTTTTCCAGCCATTTAAAACTATAAAACCATTCTGAGGTCACAGGCCATAGAAATAGAGGCAATGGGCTAGATTTGGTCTGTGGTCCATGGTTTGCTCACCCCTAACCTAGATTGTCAGACAGCTCAGTCTTGTATACATTGGGCATGTTTTTCCAGGTTTCATGGCCACTTTATAAATAATGTTTCATAAAACATTTTTCATGTAATACTCGGACTTGAGTCTCTAGGGGTGTTCTGGGTTGGAGAAAAGACAGTAGAAAAAGAATATCCCAGCCCTAAATGGTTAACATTTATATTGCAACATAAATTATTCTGTGCTCCAGATTGCCTGTAGTATCCATGCAGAATGATTCATGTCAAGATGATAAAATGATGCAGTCTCTTGAATTTGATTCCAGCTGTTCCCATCTTTGATATGATTTGTGAATGACATTTGTATTTTTCACTGGTGATTAGTTAATGCTGGGAAGGACGGCCAGATGATAGCTGTCTAGAATCCTGAAGGCAAAGATTTACTTGGCTGGAAAACTGTTCAATAGAATAGCGTTACAACATTTACCACAAATTCATTTAGCATTTGTCATTAGAAGGTGCTTAGCATCTGGAAAACAACCTGTAACTTGAAGAATTTCTTAGACTATTTGATTATATTGTGATTACTGAATGCTGGTAACCAAAAAAAGACTTCATCCACATGATGCATTGCTCTTGTTTAGAACTCAAATGAACTCTAAAGAAATGATTCCATTTTCTCCAGGAGCCGTTTATTGACTTATTCATGGCTAGAGGAAATCTCAGCTATGCATCACAGTTTGGAAATCAAGTGTCAAAAGTTACTGGATTTAGGTAATAATGATAACAGTGATCCATTTATTAGTTTACTCATAATGTGCCAGCTGCTAAACTATTTTGCACTCATTTTGTCTTCATACCAGTGCTTTGAAACATTATGTTTCCTTGCCAGAATTTTCATCCACCCACCAAGTCATGCGAAGGGCAGGTAGGTAGCTTCCAGTCTTCTATTTTCTTTGCATTCATGTAACCTCTTATATTATGATTCTCAGGGAATACAATGCAGTCAGTATAACTCAATGCTCCTCACCTTCAGTATTATTGACATTTGGGTTCAGACCATTCTTTGTGTGGGGCTGTCCTATGCATTGTAGGATATTTAGTGTGCCCCTGGCCTCAACCCACTAGATGCCAGCAGCACCATCTTTGTACTAGTTATGACAACCAAAATTGTCTTCAGACCTTGCAAATGTCCCTTAGAGAACAAAATCACCCCAAGTAGAGAACCACTAGTTTGACTCAATCTGCTCAGTGCAACATTTGAGTATGTCAAATTGTCCTTGGGGCTTGGCCTGTATTTTCACTTCCTAGGTGAAACCTTCTTGGAATGAGCTTCTCTTTACTTCAGGAATTGAAATGTGAGCTGCATCTAATTTATCATGAATTCTGCTTCATGAAAAACAGAGTTCATTATGATGTTAGCCATAGTGACTGAATTCTCGACTCTAGATCCATATTACAAAGAGGTATCAAGTTTTAAAAAATAAGTAAAAAGAGCAGATTATGTAGGACTCTCCCTCTCTCACACACTCTTTCTCTGTCTCTCTTTCTCCTCTCTCATCTTTGTATGGATCGAAATCTTCATAGCCTCACAGTAAATAAATGAAGTGTTTTCTCTGCATGTGTGTTCTTGGGCATTTATTTTGCTTTCCTTTGTGCTATTCTGTATATTCAAAACTGTCTGAAATAAACATTTAACATTTTTTCTTTTAAGTATGGAGGATTGAATCCGGGGGCAGATACCACTGAATTATATACCCAGTCCTTTTTAATTTTTTTTTATTTTGAGACAGGATCTCACTAAGTTGCTCAAAGTGTCACTAAATTGCTGAGGCTGGCCTTGAACTAATAGTCATCCTGCCTCTGGCTCCTGAGTTTCTAGGATTACAGGTGAGTGCCACCACACCCAGTTTATCTTTTTTTTTTTTTTTGGTACCAGGGATTGAACTCAGGGGCACTGAGCCACATCCCCAACCTTATTTTGTATTTTATTTAGAGACAGGGTCTCACTGAGTTGCTTAGTGCCTTGCTGTTGCTGAGGCTGGCCTTCAACTTATAGTCATCCTGCCTCAGCCTTCCAAGCTGCAGGGATTACAGGCATGTACCACAGTACCCGGCTCTAGTTTATCATTTTTGATAAGACAAAAATTCCTTTTAAACATGGAGTTACTAACCCACATTTAGCATTCTAATTGATAGTAACAATTTATTTAGATACTATGAGGCAGGTTTCTTATCAGAACATGATTGCAATTATATCTCCAATGACAAAACTTCTTATGGAAAACTTGATTGGTGAATATAGGAAAATAATATGTTACTGAATGAAGAAAATAAAATTAGAGCAATGTCCTAAAAATTCAAAATGCCAGGGATCTGCAAAAATAAACATCCCATCTGCCAATTTACATTTTTAATATTTTCATTAAAGAACTATGGAGGACAGGAGCAGCAGTTGCTTTGTATTACATGCTATCTGGGATCAGCAATAGTGGACTAACAAGGTTTTCCTACATTTGAGATGTTTGTCAATGATTGATTGTCGACATTCATATCTACATATGCTTGCCAGGCTCTGGGGGCACAAGGTCTCGAAATGGAGGCCAGGTCTTCTATTGATTTTGCACAAGAGCAGACCACACTGGAGTGTTCTAATGTGCTGGCAGAATATTCTGACCACTGATAACAATGTTCAGATAATTTAGCTTAGAATTTCAAGGCCAAGGAGGAACACAGCTTGGGAACACTGCCTGCCAAGGCTTTTGATGACTGAAAAGCCCCAAGCAAGCACACAGCTTGCCCACTCAGCACAGGCACTTGGCTCCAGCCTGTCATTAAATTGTGGGCATGGACCCAGCCCCAGGCTAGGAAAGCAGCCCCTCCTGGTCCATGAGCAGAGTAGGAAGCCCTGACCATGAATCCTCTGGAAGCTGGGAATGTCACCTCCTGAGTGGCCCTGATGCCAGCTCCCGCATACAGAAGTGGGAGAAGTGATGGCTTTCAGGCTGAGGCCTGTAAAAGCAGAATTCCCCAATTCCCAGCCAAAGAACTTAATCCTGAGGTGGAAAACAAATAAAATTCATACAAAGCAAACCCAACAATTCCCTTTCCTTGTGAGAAAGGAAATGACTGGGTGATGGTTTTGGATGAACACTACCCAGGACCATGGTTCCTCTCCTCCTTGTAGGGGAGGCTGAGGAAACTCTGCTCAGATTAACAGGGTCAGCAAGTTCAAGCTGTTGGTCCTTCTGATCAGCAGCACCTCGATGGGGTTCCCTATGCTATGATAGCAGATTTTGTTTGCTTCTTGATTTTTCTTTAGCTTCTGGTTCTCTGACACCAATAGAAGCAATCGGATTTCTTAACCAGAATTAGATTGTTAAGTCCCTTATTGCACAAGGGAGGAAATATTCTCAAGTAATTTTCATTCAGATGAAATGGGGATAAACCAGTCTTGAAATAGTTAGAAGGAAAGAATTAAAATAGTAACTCTATTCCCAGGTATGTTTTTCTCCCGTAGGAAACAGTGGTTTAAAGTTTATGGAGCAGGTTAATGAGTTGGAGAGCCTTGCCTTTTGGCTCAGGTCCTAAAATAAGACTTTTAAACACACTTCAAAACTATATAGCACTTCTCATTAATGGCAAATAAAGAATCAGGTCCTGAATCAGGATGTAAAGGCAGAGTGATTCATATAGTAATAAGTAGCAGAAATGAGGTTTTATGAAAATGAAAAATTTCATTTATTAAATGATTCCTGGAATGCCATGGGCATTTATTTTGCTGTGTTTTTTTTCCGATAAGCTCTTTGATATTTTTCAGAATTTTCTTCAATAAATATATATTGCTAGAGAAAATGGACTAAACTTAAGAGTTGAAAAACTGATGTGATACAAAAATGATGTTACAAGAAGTAGACAATTGCCTTCAAAAATCTGTAGAAAAAAATGTTTGACTTTGTTCAAAATTTTGGATTGAAGTACTTTTAAACCTATTTTTGTAATTCTAATTCTGTTTATCTTTAATGGGTCCAAAGTAGAAATCTTTGTTCCCTTTTCTAATATTTAAAGTTAATAGAAATGTGTATAACTTGAAAATCTGAGCATCTTTTGAGTTCTTATTGTTGATGACTTTTTCTTGATGTCAGTTTTCATTCATGTGTGCCTTTTGGATCACCCAAACCAGCACATTGATTCTTTTTGTTCTGCATGTAATGCTGGATGTCAGAAGAGATTTTAATGATAAAGCTACTAATATTTATATGGCAATAAATGAGAGCAGTTTTGGCTAACTTTCAATTGAGTAAATATTTTAGAATTTGGAACAAATCTGAATAGTACAAAATGCAAATGTAACATTGATGTCCACCCTTCCTCCCTCCTCTCCTTTTGTCCCCTTTCTTCCTATCTTCTTCCCTCTCTCCCTCCTAGCTTTGTTTCTCTTCCTCCCACCTTCCCTCTTTTCCTCCCTTCCCTACTTTCTTTTTCAGTTATCATTCACTAAAGACATACAACAAAGCAGGGAATATGTTAGGCCTCCAAGATATTAAAATTTGACAATGATGCATAATTCCTACCCTTAGGGAGCTTAGGTTCTAGTGGGGGAAAGTTTCTCACATAAAGGCAACAATTTACAGATTCTTCTGAACTGTGTAAAAGAGAAAGAAAAAAGAAAGAAGGAAAGAAAGAAAAGATGGAAAGAAGGAGAGAGAGAAGAGAAGAGAGCTGTATTTTGGGGCTACTATATTATTTTTAAAAAATACCAAAAAATACCCGCCCCCCCCAATGTCCCACCAGTATTCTAGGAAGGATATGTCTCCAAGATTAACAAAAACAATTATTCTCTCAAGTTAGCCATGGGAAGTGGAGCTTCATAGCAATAACAATGCTGCTCTTAACAATGGTAATTGTCTTAAACACTATTAATAGTGTTGCCTTTAACAGCACAGCAATAGTGCAGCAGAGGTGGCTGTGACCAGAAGTACCTCATCTCTAGATCTAATATAAAAGGTGAACACACCAGTATTTCCTGTGCTGCAAGAATGTCTAGAAATAATCCATTTTTGCAATACAAAAATATTTTGAGAACTTAGGTAGTCTCCTTTTAAGTATTTTTAAAAATACACATGGAAACCTCAATCTCTCTTTTTGCATTAATAATGATTTTAAAAATATTACTAGCAAAAGATCCCTCCATCTAAATTGCACATATGTGAGAAATAGCTCTCTTGAGCATTAGCTCATTGGCAGCCTCCACATCCAGGGAGAAGCTGGAGGTGTTTACTCTCCCCACATCCCTCCCTACCTTACTGGCATCAAATAGGTGGAGTCCAGAGACATTGCTAAACATCCTGCAATGCCCCCAAACAGGACCCACCACAAAGAACCATCCAGCCCCAAATGTCTTCTGAGATGGAGAAATCCTGCTCTAGAGAAAAAGACAGCTGGAGAAAAGACTGAACAACGAGGAAAAGGGGTATCAGAAGGCTTTCTCCCTATAACCAGTGAGGTGAGGAAGGAAAACTATTTATATAAAATGTGCTCAACAGATACTGACTTTCCTGTCCTGTGCGTCCATGAAGGTAGAAGATTGTACTTGGCAATTTCATTAGACCCAAAACACATAAGCAAACAAAGTCTGTAATATCCTGCCTAAATTGAAAATGAAAACTTGACACCCAGACTGTAATTAGCAAGAATGAACAACTTCCTCATTTTCCCCCAATTCACCAGGGCATTTTAACACTCAGTCATCTCATTTCCTCCCAAAGCTGTAAAGGTGTCATGATTTCAATCTCTCTAGTGGAATTTTTCTGCAACACCAAGCCTGGCCCTTCCACTTTAGAGATGTTTATGACGGCTGTGTCCGACAGCATTAAGGAAAATTGGCCACATTTGTGTCTCGGAAGCTGTCATGAGCTGTGTTGATTTTCCTCTAGTCAGAGCTGTCCCTGAGGGTTTCCTGGTTTTAAGGGCAAAACCCTCAGGAAGAACGGGCTGCTTTGAAAGTCAGCCTAGCCGGTAGCTCTCTGAAGTCGGTTCAGACAAAGTCCACTCACAGTGTTGCTTGGAGGCTATTCAGCAGGGAACAGGAGCCCTGTGGCCTTTCTCTCTGGGCTGTCCTCTATTCCTGGGACATCTCCTATGATGCTACGTGCCAGCATAATTTTATCCCCATCCCTCCATCAGCAAATGTTAGCCTTGCTCAAACAAGTCCATCAAGACAAGATTGATTGGCTTAGAATTTTTTTAAAAAATACATGTATATCAGGGCCTAGAAATGAAGCCCAGAAGGGAGCAGGCAACTGTATGTTTTGGACCCTGAATCTGGCGGCATTGCTTAATGAGGAGCGCCTTCCCGATGGGATCAAGGCTTCAGCCTCTGCAGGCCGTTGGCCCTGTGAACTCTGGGGTCAAAGGGTCACGCCCTGGCACTTCTGCTCCCAGTCAGTCATTTGAAGGTTTCAAACATGACCCTAACAGCCACCTTCTCCATTTCAGGACGTCCTGAGTGCTGGGTCTGGAATGCAGAAAGGGAGCAAGAGGCAACCGATAACAGATGCTGGGATTTGGCCACCCCCTTCCTTTCTCTGCCTGCATCAATTCCCTAGGGGCCCAGGGTCAGAAGCTTTGATTGGGCTCATCGTTCCTAGTTGACAGCTGCACGTTTGTTCTTGTCTGAGTCTCTTGCTGCTTCTCAACCTGGCCTCCGAAGATGGACTCATCCAAAGCCTGACATGGAGACTGACTTAGGGTATTCATCTCTGTCATCATCTACATTCACTTATTTATTGGGTGCTGACTACAGGCTCCAAGAAACAGTCGGACCACTGAAAGCTATGCAGCTAACTCCATCTGAATAGGCCTGCTCCAATTTTCCAACTCAGGACTATTTTTCTCACCTGACCCTGTCTTCTCTGTTACTCAAATTCTTTTGGGGGTGAAAAAATGGAAACACAAAGTAGGTAAAACCAAATATGATTTAGGTTGAAAAGCAATCAATTGAAAATTCCTGTATGCAGAACCATTGTCTTATTTAAATATATTTACTTTTTACATTTAAAAAATTGCTCATCAGAGTTTATTCTACCACTCCAGGTGAAAGAACCACAAGAAAAATAAAAAAATATTTTTAATTGACACATAGTAATGTATATATTTATGGAGTGCATGGTGACATTTCAAAACATGTATATTATGTGTGATGATCAGATCAGGGCAATCAGCATATCTGTCACCTCAGATGTTTCTCATTTCTTTGTGTTGGGAACATAGAAAATCCTACTAGCAATTTTGAAATATTAAGTTAGTTGTGGTGACCCATAGTAGTTTTGCTATGCTAGAGAATACCAGGAACTTTTCTTCTTATCCAAGTGCACCCTTGAATCATTAACCATCCTCTCTCCATCCTCCCTCCCAGGCTCTGGTAACTATTATTCTATTCTCTACTTCCACAACTTTTTAGCTTCCACATATGAGTGAGAAAATGTAGTGTTTGTCTTTGTATATCTGACTTATTTCACTTAACATAATGTCATTCAGTTTTATCCATGTTGCTGCAAATGACAGAATTTTTTAATGGCTGAATAATATTTCATTGTGTATGCATACCACATTTTCTTGCCCATTTATTCACACATCTGTAGCTGTTTAAAATGTGATGACTTTCTTGATTTCTTTCTTAGAAATTTTGTTGTTGGTATATAAAAAAGCTACTAATTTGGTATGTTGATTTTGTATCTCTCCACTTTATTTAATTTGTTGATCAGTCCTAAGAGTTTTTCAATAGCATTTTTCCCATGAATAAAATCATGTCACCTTCAAATAGGAATAATTTGAATTCCTCCTTTCCTATTTGGATGTCCTTTATTTCTTTCTCTCTCTTTATTACTCTGGCTAAGTGTTTCAACACTATATTGAATAAGAGTGATGAAAGTAGGCTTCCTTCTGGCAATATATGCATATCCATGTTTATAGCAGCACAATTCACAATACCCAGGCTATGGAACCAGCCCATGTGCTTGTCAACAGATAAATAAATAAAATGTGGTATATATACATAATTGTGTTTTACTCAGCCATAAAGAAGAATGAAATATGTTATTTGGAGGAAAATGGATGGAACTGGAGACATAATTTTGAGCAAGATAAATGAGATTTGAGAGAGAAACATATTGTTATGTTTTCCCTCATATGTGGAAGATAAAGGGGAAAAAGACATATCATAAAAGTAGAAAGGTGACCGTAGTATAGAGGAAGGGGGTCATGGGGAGGAAGGAGGGAAGGGTGGGGGCAAAATTGATCAAGTTGTGTTTCTATATATGTGGGAATATGTCACAATGAAAACCCCCATTCTGTATAATTGAGATGAACTAATGAAAACTTAATAATTTTTAAATGTTTAAAGATGAAATATAATAAAAATTAGTCAAACTATTAAAAAATGGACATCCTTATCTTTTTGTTTAATTTAAATTTTGAGACAGGATCTTGTTAAATTGCTGAAGCTGGCCTTGAACTTGAGATCCTCCTGCCTTGACCTTCTGTATAGCTGGGATTACAGGTGTGCACCATCTTGCCTGGCAGCATCCTGGTCTTGTCCCTGATCTTTGAAGAAAGGTTCAACTTTCCCCCATTCAGTATGATGTTGGCTATGAGTATATCATATCTAGCCTTTGTTACATTGAGGCACATTCCTTACATACCTATTTTTTAGGGTTTTATCATAAAGGGATATCAAATTTTATTGAACACCTTTTCAGCATCTATTAAGATGATCATATGATTTTTATCCTTGATGCTGTTGATGTGATGTATTATGTTTATTGATTTGCATATGTTGAGGCATATCCTTGCATCCCTGGGATAAATTCCACTTGATCATGATCTATAAGTTTTTTGAAGTGTTGTTGGATTTGATTTGATAGTGTTTTGTTGAGAATTTTCACACCTATATTCATCAGGGATATTTTTCTGTAGCTTTCTTTCTCTTTTTTTCCTAGTTGCTGCTGTGTTCTTGTATAGTTTGAGTATCAGAGTAATACTAGACTTATAAAATAAAATTAGAAGTGTTCCCTTCCTTTCCAATTGGAATAGTTTGAGGATAATTGATGTTAGTTTTTTTTTTTTTAAAGTTTTGGTAAAACTCAGCAGCAAAACCATCCAATCCCAGGCTTTACTTTGTTCAGGGACTTTATTACTGACTCAGTTTCATTGCTTGTTATTAGTGTGTTCAGGTTTTCTATGTTCTTGTGGTTCAATTTTTGTAGGTTGCATGTATTGAGAATTTACCCATTTCTCCTAGGTTTTCCAATTTGTAGGCTCATAATTGTTCATCGTAGTTTTCAATGAATCTTATTCTTTCTGTGGTATCAGTTGTAGTGTCCTTTCCTATTTTATTTATTTTGGTCTTCTTTTTTTCTTGGATATTCTAGCTAAAAGTTTCCTAATTATTTTTATCTTCTCAAAAAAGTCTTTTCATTGATCTTTCTTATTTTTTAGTCTCTATTTCATTTATTTATGCTTTGATCTTTGTTATTTCTTTTCTACTAATTTATATTTGGCTTGCTTTTTTTCTTTCTTAATTCCTTATGTTGCATTTTTGTTTATTGATACCTTTTTAAAAATATAGGTACTTGTTTCTCTGAACTTCCCTCTTTGTACTGCTTTTGCTGTACTCTGAACGTTTTGGTACATTGTGTTTTCATTTATTTCAAGAAATTTTTAAATTTCTCTTTTGATTTCTTCATTGACTCATTGGCCATTAGGTAGAATGTTGTTTAATTTTTACATATTTGTACAATATCTAAAGTTCCTCTTTTTATTTCTTGATTTATTCCACTAGAGTCAGATAAGATACATGATTTTGAATTTTTTAAATTTGTTAAGGTTTATGGTCTATCCTGGAGAATGCTCCATGTGTTGAAAAGTGTGAACTATGCAGCTATTGGGTGGACTGTTCTATAAAGTTCTGTTAAGCCCATTTGTTCTAATAGTGCAGTTTTACTTACAGTTTCACACATTTATTATCTTACAGCTTCTGTGTTTCAGGAATTCAGATGTGGTTTAGTTGATTTTCTGCTCAAGGTCTCACAAAGCTTACCTCAGTTTTTCAGCTGGACTACATTCTCATCTGGGGCTTGACTGGAGGAGGTCTGCTTCCAAGTTGGCAAATTTCATTTTCATGTGGCTGTAGAAATGCCAGTTTCTTTCTGGCTGTCGGCTAGAGGCTGCCTTCAGGTTCCAGAGGCCACCCAGAGTTTGCTGCCACATGACTCTCATAATATGGCCACTTGCTCTAGCAAGTGGATACCAAGTAAATACCAAGATGCTGAGTTAGGTGTGCTCTCTGTTTCAGTCAGTTACAGCCTAGGTGTAACAGACAGCTGGAAAGAATCTAACTTTATTTTGAGCAAGAACATTTTTATAGAAATCAACCTCTGCATTGTACACATGTAACAAATGTATTAATGTGTCACATTGTACCTTATATGTATGTGCAATTATTATATTTCAATTTAATAATTTAAAAAATATAGCCACTTGCTTTAAAGCCAGCAATGAGACTCTCTATAGAATATACCAGCGAGATGAAGCTTTATTTAAATATAGTATAATTCTAAGAATGAAATCCCATTATCATTGCCATATTATATTGGTTGCAAGCAACACACAGGTCTTGCTCATGATCAAGGGGAGGGGATTAAACAAGTTGTTAATATCAGCAAGTGGGCATCATGGGACCATCCTAGGTTCTGTCCACTATAGCATTCCAGATGATTCTCGTGTACAAGAAGGGCTGTCTGCAACACCATCTAGAGGATACTTTGTCATTATTGTTTGCATTTTCATTCATGGCATCACATCACTGATAATGCTTGTAGCTCATTTTTATGACTTTTTAATAGCTGTATAAATATTTTGTGGTATGGATAAATGACAATGACTCAACCTTTTCTCAGTCAATTTATATTCAGTTTGTCCCCAGGTTTTTTGCCACTGTGATTTACAGCTTTTTGCATAAATCCTTAAGAAGTGATACTTTAATTTTTAGCAGGCATTGGGATACTATGGTCCCTGGACCAAATCTGCACAGTTGCCTGATTTTGTAGTCTGAGAGCTAAGAAAGGGTTTTTATGGTTCTTTAAAAAAAAGAAATATATATTACAGAGACCATATATGGCCCCCAGTGCCTAAAATAATTACCATTTTGCCCTTTATAGAAAGTTGTCCAATTTATGTTTTATAGAATATATTCCTAAGGAGCAAGAATGTCATGCATTTTGTGAATTTATCATTACCAGATTACTTCCCCCAAAAGATTGCATCAATTCAGAATATCCTGGCAAAGTGCTGAGAGTGACAGAATCTTGATAAACATTGTATATTATTGTTCTTTTCTATTTCAGTTAATCAGTTGGAAGGCAAAATGCATTGGCTTGCTGTTTCATTTTGAACTTCTGTAAAAACTTGACAGAGAGGTTGAACTTTTTCAAATATGTATTGACTTTTGTAGTCAAACATCTATGATTTTTCTTGCTTAGGAAACTCTCCCTACCTCTATTTATACACATTTTCTGCTAAAATTTCTTTTACATTTTAAAATGATTTGACTGATCTACTTGACTATTTTGTACGACTACCCTAATATTTTGTACGACTACCCTAATATTTTCATTACAGAGTCTTTTCAGTACATTTTAATATATCATATGGCAAGTTCTTCTTCTTCTTTCTCTCTCTCTCGATCTCTCTCTTTCCTTCCCTCCCTCCCTCCCTATCCCCTCCCTCCTCCTTAAGCAACTTAGCTAGACCCTGTCTCAAAATAAAAAATAAAAAGGGCTGGGGATGGGGCTCAGTAGTAGAGTAGCCCTGGGTTCAAGGGTTCCTCCTTCCTCTTTTTATTATTAATTATTGACTTTTTAGAAATTTAGTTTTCTACATGAACTTGAAAAATAATTTTATCTAGTTATTTCTGCCCATAAAGATAATTTTGAGCCTTGTTTTTCATCATTTCGTCTTTATTCCTCTCATCCCATTGACAATAACCTAGAGAGAAATGCCATGTGGTGGTAGAACTGAGTATCCCTTGTCTGGCCCTGATTTTGAAAGGACTACTTTGGAATTGCTTCACTTAAAATCATGCTTGGTCAGGCACAGTGGTGCACACCTGTAATCCCAGGAGCTGGGGAGGCTGAAACAGGAGGATTGGGAATTCAAAGCCAGCCTCAGCAACAATGAGGCCCTAAGCAACTCAGTGAGACCCTGTCTCTAAATGAAATACAAAATAGGGCTCAGGATGTAGCTCAGTGGTTGCGTGCCCCTGAGTTCAATCTTCAGTATCAAAAAATAAAATTGTTGGCAGCAGGTCCACCTTGGCCCCTGGAGCCCTACCTCCACTAGTTTGTTCTGCATGCCAGTGTGGCCAGCTCACAAGGCCATGGCGAACTTGCGGTTTTTCTGTTCCTGCTTATCCGTCTGAGACATATGTATCCCACGGGAATGCCTTGACCTTTTCTGGTCTGATGGACTTATTGTTAAGGGAGGTTTCGGTACCTGACAATAATAGATGTTGAAACTAAATTTCTCCCCCCTCCCTCCTGCTTTTGGGTAGTTTTCCACTTCTGCTGCTTGGGGTATAAAAAAAGGTGTGTTAGCAATAAAGATTATTATTGACTCCTGGATGAAGAACCTTGGTGTCCTGTGTGTCTTTTAACCTCGCCGTCCCTCGCCGGACTCGGCTCCCTTGGCCGGACGCGGCATAAAATAAAATAAAATAAAAACACATCATGCTTGTTGTAGGTTTACAGACAAAAATAAATAGTTTTCTTCTATTCCTATTTAACTGAAAATTTATTATGAGTGCCTACTGAAATGTATTAGATTTCTTCTAAAGAATCTGGGTTTTTTTTTTTTTTTTGGTACAGGGGATTGAACCCAGGGCTACTCTACTATTGAGCCCCATTCCTAGCCCTTTTTATTTTTTTATTTTGAGACAGGGACTCACTAAGTTGCTTAAGGCCTTGGAAAATTGTTGAGGCTATCTTGCAGTTTTGATCCTCCTGTCTCAGCCTCCCAAGTGACTGGGATTACATGTGTGCACCACCATGCCTGGCTTAAATAATCTATTTATATATTTGTATTTTTCCTTTTCTTTTTAAAGAAAGTAAAAATGTTGATAGGTTTCATGCTGTTGGAACACTCTATGGTTGATAGGTTTTCTGGCCAATTGAACCCTTTATTATGTGAT